AAATTCCCCGAAGAATTAGTTTTGATAATTCTATTTGTTATGAACTTCATGGTTTTGCTGATGGTTGCGTTATATATTCTCGTGTGTTATTGAAAGATCAGTCCGTCAAAATTGATTTGGTTTGTGCAAAATCTAAAGTTTCTCCTCTCAAAAGAATCTCTATCCCTCGTCTGGAACTTTGTGTGGCAGTATTATTGTCTGATCTATTTGAATCTGTTAAAACGGCTTATAAAAATTTAATGTTTGATCGTGTATATGCATGGACCGATTTTACTGTAGCTTTATCATGGATAAAGTGACTTTATTAAAGTCATCTCCACATCGTTGGAAGTTGTTCGTTAATAATCGCGTTAGTCATATTCAAGAAAAATTAGCTCCTCAATATTGGAACCATATTTCTTCAATAAAGAATATCGCCGATTATGCCTCTCGTGGTTTGTTGCCCGCAGAATTAGTTGAGCATTTTAAAAAAATTAACTTCTTCAATTTATTTTTATAAAAATTAAATGTAATATTTAGTTGTAAATAACCATTTAGAAGAAAATATATAATAATTTGTTTATTTTTTGTTTTCAGATATGCCTTTGGCAGTTCAATGCATGAGAGCTTCGCAATTTAAATAATTTATTTTTTGTTTACTATTATAGCAATATATGTAGGAGGTATATTTAGTGTATATGTATTATAATAAATTTTTATACTTTAAACTAGAGTTTTCATTAAAATCCCAGCTTTAAAAAAAACATGGACCTCGTCCCTGTCACGGTTGAGGGTGATTAACAGTTTTGTAGCAAAGCTTCAATTAATTAATATAAATCAACCCTAAAATTTTAATATAGTTGATGGCAATAAGTTGAATTTGGGTTAAGAAATAAAAAACTTATCAAAATTTTATCACAAATTTTACGTTAAATGAATCGAAACTTAACGCAAACTTAACTTAAAGTAGACTTAAAGTTAACGGAAAACTGACCCAAATTAAACGAAAAGTTGACGCAAATTCAACGCATACTTACCTATATTTAACGCAAACCTAACTTAAAGTTGACGTAAATTCAACGCAAACTTAACGCAAATTCAACGGAAACTTGACTAAAATTCAACTAAAAATAAACTCAAACTTAACACAAAATCGTAAATCGGCACAAAACTGCAAATAATTACGTTGAATTTGCGTTAAGAAACGAGATTTTAACCCAAAATCAACAATTTTGAGTTAATTATGGGTGATACTTGTGCGCAACTTAACGTTAATTTTGCGTTTAGTGAATTCGCCAGGGGACAGTCAATTCCAATGTAAAATTGTCCCCTAAATCCACAAATACCGACGAAAATTATAAAAGTTAAGCAGTTTTTAAGATATTCAATTCCATATTATATTAAAAATTAACTATATCTAAAAAACTGTTTTACTTTAATAAGTTTTGACGACATTTTCGGATTCAGCGGACAATTTTACATATAAATTGACTGCTAAATATCCGTGATACAAATTGCTGTTGACGAGAATTATTAGTACCAAAGATCATTTTCATATCGAGCACGATCCTTAATAACACAGATGTGTTATTAAGGACCGTTGCAACGCGTTGTTACTCCACTCTCTTAAAATTGTCATAGCGAAAAACCATGATTGCCCGAAAAAATAATTTTGCAATTTTCAATCTGTCAAGTGTGTTTCACTTTATTATTAAATAATGTACCTACTGCAAAATTGGGTGAAAAGACTACTGCCAAGCTAGCTGCGGCGGCCATTAGAAAAAAAAAATAGTTGAATAGTTTTAAATTAATAATCGAAAAGTGTACTTAAATAAGGCAGCAATCATTTAAGAATAATAGTGATGTATTTTTAGGAGTAATTTCAAAAATAAACCAGCAGAAGACCCACCCTTTATTAATAACATTATACAAAATGCACCATTCTATAAAAGTGGATCTAAAACTTGTCAAAACTCAATGGGACACTAATTTTGATCATGCAATCTAAACGAAATAAACGCCTACACGGAAAAAAATGTTGTGGAAAGTACTACAATTGTAGAATTTTCTGGTAGAAATTGTTTAAAAAATACGACCAAGAACAATTTGTTAGAAATAATTTAACAATTTTGTAATAAAAATAAACAACAATTTATTGAAGATATAATTATATATTGTAGTTAAATTACTACAATTTCTGTTTTAAATTAATATTGTTATATATTTTAATAAAATATTGTATTGACTAATGCAATTCTTTATTAAAAATAATACAGATTTGCCGTGCTCCAAAAGTGTGTACTTTAAATAAATTATAAGTTGATAAAAATGCTTTAAGTTTTAGTTAATTTCAAAACAATTGTATTAAATAATTAAACATTTTTTTTTACAATATGGTTGTTGTAAAATTTAATTTAATTTTTTTTTCCGTGTAAAACACTATTCAAGAATCGCCATTTAGTAAAATATGTTACGCAGTATCCCAGCTAGCACAAGTCTGTCCTAAGGACATCCTAAGGAAAGCCTTACAGGATATTGGGATATCCCAAGGATATCCTAGGACGTCCTCAGACCTCCTCAGGACATCCCAACCATGGCCGAGTGGTGCAAAAAAGGCCAGCCTACAGACGTCCCGCAAATGGCCTTTAGGATATCCTAGGGATATCCCTAGGTCCATATAGGTCCAGGAATAGGACATCCTAAGGATGTCCCCTAAAAGTCCCATGGGTATATGTAAGTCCAGGAATGGGATGTCCTGAGGACATCCTCTGAATGGCCTTGTTATTTGTTGGGGATACATTTTAAACAATCAAATACCATTTTATTACTTTATAAAATATATTATTTTAATTCTGTATACATATATACAATTTTACACAGCCAATTATATAAAATAAAAAATAAACACATATTATAAAAGTAAAATAAATAATAATTCTAAATAAATATACAAGTTATATTATTTATATATCGTCACCGTTCTGGCAAAAGTCATTAACTCCATTTTTGTCTAAAAGTAGTTAACTACCTTCGCGATCATAGAACAATTATATCTGTGGTCTAGAAAAACTTATTAAGTGCAGTATTGTATTTTTAGCATGCTTAGACAAAAATGGAGTTAATGACTTTTGCCAGAACGGTGACGATATACACAGTGTCCAAAGTTATCTGCTCACCATTTTAACTCAATTATTATTGCAGCTACAAAGTCGGTTAAATTAGCAAATTAGGGGCATTTTTTCTTCTGATTAAAATGGTTAAGACAGAATAACAATTAAACATCAGGTTTCTGAAGTAATTACAAAAATAACATTTTATTAAATAAAAAGACAACTTAATATGGAACAAAAAATTATTATTGCATAACTACCCTAAACTTAAAAATAAACAATTAATAAGCACTGGAACTTTCTGATTGTTGTTGAAATATCCAACACTATAATAATATTATATTTAATATAATATATTATAACAAACACACTTGGAGAACACGAGATTCACGGCCTTAAACCAGGTTCACGACACAGAAAAAGAATTCACGGCACAGACAAAGAATTCCTTTCACAGTGTTATCTATGATTCTTTCTAACAAAAAGACCCCAAACAACTAAAGGACGCTATACGACATGATATTTTGTATCATGGCTATACGACATCTTAGCTTTCTCTCCATCCAGTGTTACCACCATAGAAAATGGTTACCACCATAACGTATGGCGGCAAATTTAAAACAATCGGTAACTCAAACTATTAAATAAGTTATAGATAGCGTTTGTAATTACATTTTTAAGGTTAACTGACGCTTACTACCTTAATTATTATTTATAAAACTCTAAATATATCAATACCTTACAAACAAGGTGTTTGAACAATTATTAATTACCAGCTGTCATTTCTGCGCATGCGTATTAAGTTGGCTGCTATCCAGTTGTATACAAAATATATTTTGTGGTCATATAACAAATACACAAAATATAATATTGTTTTTAAACTCCCGCCTTTAAAACGCCGATTATCGTACATGTTTCCATGATATTTTAAATACACATTGACAAGTTGTGGCTTTATGGCGTTTTAGTCATGGGTAAAGGGTCTACAAAGTGAGGTTAGAACAGACTGGTCGATGTCAGATTTTAGAAATAATTATTTATATATAATTGTTGAAAGTTATTTAATTTTTGAGATTGTCGTAGAAAAAATATAGTTTATAAACTTAAAAAAATCTATATACCTAATATAATATTATAATTATATTGATTAACATTTTTAAGATGTGCCTATGCAAAATAAGTTATGTAAAAAAATGTAGGTATTATTAATTATATGGATAAAATATTCTTATAGAAAAATGTGCATACCAAATGTTTACCAAAACCTAACGGGACATTCTGAGGATGTCTCTGGGATTAGTCCTATGATCAGCCCATTTTAGGCTTTAATTAGGATATTATTAGGTCCTAACGACATCCTTAAATGACGTTCCTAGGATATCCCAAAATGGGACCTTCAAAAGATCTAATGTCCGATAAGGTCAACCTATGGACGTCCTCAGGAAGTCCTTATAGGATCATCCCATTCTGGGACATTTAGGCTGGTCCAAGGACGTCCTGAGGATGTTTGTGCTTGCTGGGATGCGCTGTACTCTTGTAAAACTATTAACTTCCGGCATGGTATTTACAATCAATGATGAATTTAAAACCATTTACATTTAAACCTCACCCGATATAATAAAAATATCGTAGAAATATTAACTGTGTAGGTATTATTTCAACAATTTTTTAAATTTAAACAACTTATTTTTAGTATTTTTCCATTTAAAAGTGTGTTTAAACCCCAGGTAAAATGATTAGGTAAGTCCCTTTTAAAAAACTTAATAAATAAAAAAATTTAAGTCAGATATGTTCACTAATTTTACTAATTATTTTAAAACAGATAATCCCCTTTTATGGGTATGGAAAAATACTAAAACGTTACCTAATTAAAATGGATCTTATTTATAAAACAATATATAAATATCTTACTCCAGGGGGGGCAGGTGGGCCATAACCCTGTGAAGGAGCACCATATCCTTGTTGTGGACCATATCCACTTTGAGGACCTCCATATCCTCCATATCCACCTTGTGGGGCCTGACCGCCTGAACTATGAAGAGAAGAGGCTAATGAAGCAGTTTCAGAAGAAGAAACGGCCATTACACCTTCGTAAGAAATGACGGTGATGTGAACATCGCCGTCAATTAAAAGATGGCTGATTTGTGAACTTGTAATTTTATGTGGAAACTCGCTGTGATGTTGACCATTAACAGCAATCTAAAGTGGAAAACATACATTTATACAAATATATTTAGATAATGGATAAGGGAATTAAAGTCATTTTGAAAAAAGTATTAAGGAAAAAATATTTCTATCCTGAAATATGAGAAAAACTTTATTTTCGGGTTAAGACCGTGTTGATTGAATATTGGTAGGTATCCGACGTTTTATCTCTTAAAACTATAGACATCTTTATTGATTAAACTGAAACTGTGTTTTTGTCGTGCTGTCGTAATAATTCAGACATGATTAAGTTGTCCCTGTTCGCTGATTGTGGAGGTAAATTTTTACGGATTAATAATTTCCATATGCTTGGTAATGGATAACAGTATATACATTTCTATGGATTGCCTATTACCCTGGGTATTCTTTTTGGTTCCATAGCCAATTGTTAAACAATTATTGTTTTTCTTTGGAAAAAAAATAAAATAAGTTTAAATTCCGAAGGTTTTTATAGGATACCATGTTCCCGTGGTACTAAGATAAATTGCGACCAGAATTAAGGAATATAAGCGAAATGTAAGGCTAAAACAAATACCTTCGACAGCGGAAGCGGAGCACTTCCACAAAACCAGTTTTAAAATTAATTTTTCCAATGTAAAACAATTGACCATAGAACCAAGAAGAATACCCAGGCTAATAGGGGAATCCACTCTCTTAAAATGAATTAGTCAAAAATGACCAATTATAAGTCATATTCGACTAATTGTCATAGCAGAAAAGCAGTCACAAATAAATAGTCAAATTCTACCGAATTAAATAGTCAAATTAGAAGATTTAAATTTAAATAAGTTTTTGACCCATCCAGGGTTTGACCTCGGGTCTCTCGGTTTTTAAGCGGATGTCTAATCGCTTGGCCACTGCTACTTTTATAAAAATTACTTGTCTACAAATATTATTAATAATATTTTAAAGATGAATATCTTTTTTTAGTTGCTGTTTTGCATCTTTATTTGTTTTTATCGGCCATTTAACCATGAAGCCTACATGTAAGTATTTAACGCTAACAATAATTTGTTGTTGTTGCCGCAAGGGTTAAAAACGATTGAAGAAATTAGTTACTTTTTACTCTCAGAAACAGTAAAAATGGTGACATCTTAAATTATATAAAATTTTATTATTTAAGTAGTAAAAAATAACAATTTAAAAGTGAAAACGACTATTTGAGTAAACAATGGTGGTACTAATTTAAATAGTAGAATTTTGACTATTTTATTTTAAACCTTAACTACTCGCGCCAATTTTTTTATTTGTATTCTTATAAAACTGTGGACTCTAAAATAATGATTATGTTTTAAATTCCATATTTTGTAGATTTAAAAATATTTTAAGCTCGCCGCACAACAGCCCGGTAACGAAAACGGGAACAGGAACCTAAACGGTAAAGGTGGGAGAGACTCAGCAAACACTATCTATCAACAGTGGTTTCTTAAGGCGGGTGCACAATTACTCGGGAACGGAAAGGAAAATGAGAACGGTAACGAGAAAAAAATTAAACACACAGAAGTCAATGTACACATGCACAACAAATTTTCGGTAACGAGAACGAGAAACATCCCGCGAACGGAGACGAGAAAGTTGGTTAAGTTTTAAGTTTCTTGTTCCCGGTAGCCAATAGGAACGCAGCATTATAGAAACCAATAGAAAATGAGTTTGATCTGTCAAATTATTTCTGACATTCGCGCTATTTGTTTTATCAATACGTTCTGTGTTAATAAATTAATGAAAATGAACGACGAATTAATTATTTTATTAGCAAAAAAGTTCCCACATCTGTACGATCACGCGTTAAAAGAGTATAAAGATTAATTATTAAAGAAAAATAGTTGGCTTTTAATAGCTAAACATCTGCAGTATGATCGTACGTATACTTCTATTATAAATACCAAATAAATTAAATATCCCCAAAACATATTAACCTAAGAATTAAAATAATTATGTTAATTGTGAATCTCGTGAATCTTCTCGTTTTCGTTTAAGTTTCCGTTCTCGTTTCCGTTAGCGTTCCCGAGTAATTGTGCAGCCGCCTTTAGTCTCTCCCACCTTTACTGTTCAGATTCCCGTTCCCGTTACCGGGCTATTGTGCAGCGGGCTTTACATTGCAAAAATTGAAATTTAGTTATGTACCTATAAGTAAAGCATTTCTAAATCATTCTCAAGCATTTTGTCGATAACTTCAAAATCAGTAAATTAAACTGAATATGCCGTCGACAGTACATGGTAGACACATCAGCCATAGGTTACATGGAAAGGGCATTCCATGCCAAGAATACGAAAAAAAGAAAAGCGGTTTTAATAAAAACGGAGCACTCAATGCACCTGCGCAACCATTTTAGGGTTAAAAGAGCATAGAAATTTGTAAACCTCAAAATATCATCAATAGAGTTACGGGTTATTCGTTACCAAGCATATGAAAATCAATAATCCGGAAGAATTTACCTCTAGAATGAGCGAACTTAAACCCGTCTGAATTAACACGACCAGTATAAAAAATATTCACAGCGCAACCAAAACTCAGAGGACAAATTTGCAAAGAGACAAGACGTGGAATACCAATATTCAATCAACACAGTCTAAACCCGAAAATACAATTTTCTCAAACAATGCGGCCGTAAAAGCCTGAAATGTAAAATTCATAAATTAAAAAAATTTATTATTTTTATTTTAGGGTTTAAATAAAAACTTTAAACATTGCTAACCCGACCTCTTTAATTGATCGATGCCAACTACATATAATATTAAAAATGTTTTTGTTTTTTATTTTTAAAAATTAAAATCAACTATTTAAATAAATTGTGGTATAAGCTAACGCCTTAGAACTAGTGATGTTCGGAATACTTTTTACGATATTTAGACCGTGAACGCTACTGGTTGCACTAACCAGCTAGTAAACGTTATGCACGCCGAAATACTCCATTTCCTAGACCGTGAACGCTACTGGTTGCGCTAACCATCTACTAGGAAAAGTTAATGCACGCCAAACACTCCATTTCTTAGAAAGTGAGCGCAACAATGCTGCTTTACGAAAAATAATTGATTAATTTATTATTAAACTTAAAATTTACCGATGGTTTTGTTTTATTTTAAAATAAACTTATTAAAGCTAAAAGTTCGAAGGTTAAGGTTAAGGTCAAAAGTCAATGACAAGGCCTGAGCACAATTCCGCTCGCGGGATTTTATTTTGAAATGAAGTGGAAGGCGGGCGAAATAGAACCAGGGGCAGGACGGAACTACCAAGTTCTTTTTGCTGCATAACAGCAGAAACCTATAATCATGTGTTTGACAGTTCAGAGGTTGTTATCAGTTGTATTACATTAAATCACCCGTTATACTCGATTGTTAATTTGTGTTGCAATTGTTCAGAATATTTACATAAAAGTTATTCGTTTATGGTATTTTTTAATAATATGTTCTAAAAACACGTAGGTAGTAACCGCACGAAAAATTTATTTCTATATTAACACTAAACGTGTGCTTGGGGCAGAACGGACTGGGGCAGTTGGTTTGGGTTGTGGGGTTGTGTAAAATGAGCACATATATACAAAATACCCTAAAAACTCAACACAAACCAAACCAAACCAAACCAACTGCCCCACTCCGTTCTTCTTAATATAATTATAAAATAGTAAAACCGTTGAGTGAAGAATTCCTTAGTCAATGGTAAAACTTTAAAACAGTGTTGTTTTCATTCATATATTAATAATATGGAGTTTCATCAAGTAAAGGTCGAAACAATCAATAATATGTTTGTTATTTTGGGTTCCTTTCTGCCCCACCCATAAGGCAGAACGGTCTTTTTGCTATGTGCTACTTTTTTTGCCATTTTCAGTTGATTTTAACTTTTATTTTAATTATTGAAACCCTTTTTTTTTGTATTTCAATCTTAGGTGTGACGTTCTGCCCCTCCTTTCCCTATAGGGATATATATATAGATTTTTTGTAAATACAGTAAAAAAAGTATACAAAAATGATTTCTTAAAAACCATTCATAATGCTGTATTAATACTGCATTAATCAATTTTGATATAAACCACTGTCTATGAAAAATAAAATCATACATTTTAATAAACAACCCCATAAAAAGATACAATCAAAATTTAAAAGGTAACAAAAAAATGAATCAACATTGCTTGATGATCATCAAACCTCGAGGTTTGACAAAATTATAAATAATGTTAATGTTTAAATTATTATTATGTAGATATAAAAACAGCTAGGTATGTATTTTTCACGTGATTTATTTAATTTAAAAAAAATAAATAAATCACGTGAGACTTTCAAAAACACATAGTTGTTTTTATATCTAAGTACATAATAATAATAATATGGAGTTTCATCAATTAAATAATTAATGTTTAAACTTCGCTTTACCATTTTTGTGTATATTATTTGTATACAACAAATTTATAATAAGATTTCCTTATACTAGTTTCTTAATAAAGAAAAACACAATTTTTTGGACCAAAATCATTTTATTCAATATTAGAATAGTCAACTTCAATACACTTGGACCAGCAATCTTTTAACGTTTGTCTCAAAATAGGCATTCGACTTATTTATTTTCTTCACTTTTTTCAAGGTATTTTTTCACTAGGTACCAGATCTGTCGAATAAGGTGGGCGCTGCAGCAATTTCAAGGCAATTCCTTGATTTTCTTAAAATATTTTTATAGCGGAAATTGTTTCATTGATGACTGATGTCCAGGGTAGTAGCAATCTCGCACATTTTCCCCCTTTGATATTCCTATAGGATTTTGAGCGTTTATTTAGGGCATCATTTCTGAGATGACTGCCTCGTTTGACCGCCCAGAATCCATTTGTCGATGTACTATCGGGGTAATTATTATCTTTCCACTAGCGGTCTCATTTAGCTTAAAATGATTTGGCTGGCCACGCCTCGGGTTACTTATTGTCTATCCACTGGCGGTTTTATTTCGATTTAAAGAAATTTTGCTGGCCACGTGTGATCAAGCACCTCTTACTATTCGTCGTAACAAT